TAGCGTGAGTCTTTAGCTGGAAGGCAAGGTAGCAAGCGTAGACCAAGAGGAGGATAACAGCCGTGCCGTGTGATAGTTCCTGGTTCCTGACAGCATCGGCAGCACCATTGTTCGCGGTGCTGTCATCCTCGGCGATGGTGTTGTGGAACACAGTCGGAATGATAAGCGATGCAACACAGAGAGCAAGCAACGATGCCGCCGTCTGTGCAACTGTGACGTTGAAGAACTGTTCCAGGCGGTTGATTCCTCCCAGGAAGAAGGACATACCCAAAACCAATAGCAAATTCGACAACATGCTGCCAATGAGTGAAGTCTTGACAATAGTGATCTCGTCTTTGAGCAGGGCTTGAATGGACACGATCAGTTCGACGGCGTTGCCAAAGGTAGCGTTCAACAGCCCACCAAGAGTCTCGCCAACGCGGATGGCCAGCTCTTCAGTCGCATTACTGAGCATGGCTGCGAGCGGGATGATGGCGATGAAGTTGATGACGAAAACCGGGACGGGTTTCAGGTGTGCGTATCTAACAGCAAACCCGATGGGCACAAAGATGAGGAGAACATTGATCCAGGCACCGAAAAGAACGAAACGGATCTGTTTGCCGACTGGTATCTTCCTCTTGTGAGCCTTCCTCTTGCGTTCCTCTAGCGAAAGTTCGTCGTCTTCCGGGTCCTCTGCCGCAACATCTGGTGCATCGTGGTCTTTGCGGAAGATGCCCTTGAATTTGGCACGACGGGTGGGGCCGACGTTGGCCTCTTGGTTGGAAGGCGCAATGGTGCTGTCGCCGGAAGCCTTGTGCGCGCCATTCGTTTCGGACATCATATCCTTCTCCTCCGTTGACTCCGGGATAGTCGTAGACGCGCTTCCGTATGTTGGAGAAGACGTAGATGGTTCGGTGTTGTGGTGGCCGGACATACCGAACTCTTTGCCTGCTTGCATGCTCTCTAGCCGTCTTTGCTCCTCGATGGCGGGTGTAGCATGGGTTTCCGATCGCGTCCTGTGTACTGCGTTCTCTTCGTCTAGGTTAACGTCTCGAGACCGTTGTCGGGCGAATGGGTTGTAGTTCGCTGCGCCGTTGCCGCCATGTTGCGACGCGACGCGATGTGCCTGCCTTCGTACGGTATCTAAATTCATTATTAGATGTGTTCTGGTGTTTGGCAGAAGAAGTCGGGTCGAGGGATAATCGAGACCTATCGCGATCTCGATTCTCGGAGATGTGGATCCACTTACGCATTGATCTACTTTCGCGGCAGCTGTGCCGTCTTCTTGCACTTAGTGGTGGATATGTGGTCCAGTTGAGAGTCGCGCTCAAGAAGTGCGACGTGCAGCTCGATATGCCAAGTGAGTACTCGGAACGAGTTGCTTGTGATTCGGAACGGGTGGCTGGGGGCCGAAACGGATGAAATGGGGGCGAACAATTGTCTGGACCAACGAGCGCGCGAAAAAGTGTGCCTGATGCAACCGGGGAGAGACAGACGCAGGTACGCGTGCAATCTGTGTCGGAGATTTGTCGTTGGAGGTCTGCCCTGAGAACAAAGGACCGGTGAGTGAATGGAGAAAGGGAGGAAGGAGCCAAGGGTAATTAAACCAGCGTTGACAGGAGGCCAGCGCACTGACGAGTCCAACACTGACGAGTATAGTTGTGGCTGTTGTGTGAATGCACGAATGAGAAACGCCTCAGCCACAGTTGACGGGGGCAAATAGGAGCTAACGGGATTGTCAAAAGGCTGTGTTTACAGTAGCGCGCGCATGCAAACGCAAATCACTGCGTTCGGAGTCTACGTGATTGCCTCTCGGAAGACAGATGTGCGAAGCTTCACGTCATGATAGTCAAGCCTTGTTACGGAGAACCAAGATTCACTCGAGGCACTTGGCTGGGGGCTTGGGCTAGCATCGGGCGCAGAGGCGGTCTGGGCATGACGACGCGGCTAGACTTGGAAACGCTTAACTGGTCGACCCTGCATGCCAGCTTGCGCACTAGCAAAGCATCACGATACTTGATCTGGGGAATCTGCTGGTGTTGTTGAAGTTTCCTTGCTTTCCCCCATGGCTGTTTGGCTGGCGTCGCAGGCTGCACCCTGGAGGTTTTACCACGTCTGCTGTACACCGTAAGCTCCAGACGCTTGCTTTGCGTCTGCTTGCATCCGAGTGCGACTGAAATACCGCGAATGATCTTTATACGCACGACAAGCATCAAAGCTTACACTCGCAGCAAGACGCATGCGGCCATGACAGAGATCTGAAATAGCATCCGCTTAATCCTGCATTTATATACACGCGATATGATAGCTCTTAGACATGCATCACATCTGACCTGGTGATCTGCGCCTGCATATGTCCTTACCCCAGTTGCACAGCTGGAGTGATGATGGCACGACGATGGCGCCATCATGGCGCACCAACCCTCGACTGGACACCACGCACGAGGGAAAATATATCCTATCGCCTGCGTTCACACGATCGACGTTTCTTGCTTTTTCCTATGTCTGTTGCCCAACTAGGCAAGTTGCGCAACGGCCATGGATGTCGGCGGGCACAAAGCAAAAGAAATGCCGGGGCCGTCCTCACAGCATTGGTGCGCACTCGCCGAAGGCATGCCGCAGCGACGTGGGTGGCGGCACGCCGCAACAGCCTGATTCGTGCGCAAAAAATCGAGTTCGAGATTGCCCATAGACATAGCGCTCAGTATGATAGTAAGACACGGTTCGCAGGTTTGCATCTGTATGTCTGCCTTCGCTCATGCAGCCACAGTATGCAATCCGGCCGATGACGTACGGGCCTCACAATGCGCATGATAAAGGAGCTAGTCGCGTATACCATGGCTGCAAGAGAAAGGCGTAGCAAAATTATTGAATCCTTTGTAATGTTTACATCAAGTACTCCTTTCCTACATGAGATAACCATATCCAGTATCATGAACGCCCTACTGCCGGTCCAAGCACTCCTGTGCGCCGCTTATCACGTATTGTACTGCTCTCCATGTCCCTTCTCTTGAGACATATGCGCCCAAGTCTGTCCATTTACGGGCCCTGGACCTTGTTGTCGCCCTTGATTACATCTGCATAGGTCGGTGGTGGCCCTTCAGGCTGACTCGAGCTACCCTCGCCGGCTTGCGGTGCAGCAGCATTCGGGGCTGAAGCGTCCTTCGCGGCCTTGCTTCCCTTTGGTTGCGCAAAGCTGTTTGTCACGCCACTCTGCTGTCCGGGGAACTGGCCGTTGCTTGGCTGGCTGCCCACGGTGCCGTAATTCGCCTGTCCTCCAGCCGGCTGCTCGTGGGTGATGACATAGTATGTGGTTCCGCCGTTGCTGTTTGCGCCGCGTTCGCGGTCGGGCACTTGCTGGTATGCGTCGTACGGATCTGGGTTTTGGAGGATCACGTACCAGGCGTGTAGGAGGCCTGGCAGGAAACCGAGACAGCAGAGCGCGAGATTGATGAGAGAGTCGGCACTGCAGAGGCCTTTCTTTACCCATACCCCCACAGGTGGGAACTAGTTGACGTGTCAGTACTTGAAGACGGTGGGTCGCAAAGAGATGGCTGGTGCCTGCTGCAGTTTCGGGGACGTAGACGTACCAGGACGCTCAGAAGCATCAAGAAACAGTCGGAGCCGCACATGATGACAGTGAATCGCGATGTAGAGTTCTGGGTTGGGTTGCGCAGCTGTAGGTACAAGGTCGTAGTCGTTGTGCTGGCGTCGGGGTGTCGCCTGAGTGAGAGGTACCTGCAGTCGCTTGATCTGATGACGCACATTGTGGCTGTGCGTGGCTGTGCATTCGCCGAGGTACCTGGAATACGATATACGGGAACCACCGCTGTCACACTGGCGCTAGTCAAGATGAAGCGCCGCTTCTGCAATTCGACGTCTTTCCAAGCCGATCTTTCGTTCACAAATTATTCTTATCGAGTGGCAAGCTCTGGAAACCAACTGCCCGCCTCGCAGCATATCCATATGTCACTTATCAGATATCCAAGATCACCGAACGTTGCACATAATCCGTTTTGATTCTCTAGTTCAATATGTACGTGTTCATGTCCCATTGAAAACAAACGCTTTGTGTGGCACACAGGTTGGATCACATACAGAAGAGCTGTCCTCCCCAGCACCTGATATTAGCACCTGATATTAGCACATGTGGCTCAGCCTGTAGATTCTGCTACGCATCATGGATCAAAGATCTTCAAGGTCACAGCCCTCGCTGGAAGGTAGAGAATAGCTTGCAGCTGGCTACCTGAGTGCCAGCGTAGTATGCATATCCTGTGGCTGGCGCCATTTTACTTGAAGTAGCTAGCAACGCACACCACGAGTACCAACATATACTTACTGCACATACGATTGTGTGATCTTGTTGGACTATAGGGATAAAACATGGATCGCAATCTCCGAGCGAACTACGGGACTAAACACCAAGGAAACGTGATCTGAAGAACAAGGATCAAACATGGTGGTAGGTGAACAGATAAAAGGATGACATCGACAGAATTTGACGCGACAAGTGGGAAGATCGAATGAGATTGATATAAATGGTGGTGAAGATGACAAGATGACAGAACGTCTTGAACAGACAGTGAAGAGAAAAGGACATAACGTGCCCTGTGAAATGAACATCAAGCGCTGAATGACGCCATACCCATAAGCCACCCTTTCTGAACAAACTCATCAAAGCATTCTTTAGACAGAAAATGGGATCACAGTCGTCAACCCCTGTAGACGTGAGGGTGTAGTATCAAAGCAGTGAATGAAAATGTAGGGCATCATCCCGCATGATAATATGCTGCATAAAATGGATGATCCAGTATCTTAAAAAGACCATTGTGCAAGGTCAAGAGGCTGGCGGGAGGTGCTCTTGACGAATGACACGGCAGCCACAAGAATGGACGGCTCTGACAAGAATTCTGAGCAAGCATTGCAGTGGGTGTACTCATACTGACGGGACGTTCAACGTCGGCTGTGACTAGTAAGATTCTGCACGAAAATTGGAGAGCGTTAAAAGGAATTGGCAGGTCTTACCTGTACGCAGCATCAACTTGAGAGCGCCGCTTTCGCTTGCTGTAGTCTTCTTGCTGCCGCAAGCGCTCATGCTCGTGGTCCGCATCCTCATAGCTCCTCTTCCGAGAGAAAGAGCTATCGCCTCGGTCGAGTGAGGTTGCACTTGGCACATCCTGTCGTATCTCGCTGCTGGGATTTTCGGGCTCGAAATCAGAGCCAGCCATGGTGTGGTTGCTTCCTTCAGAGAGCGCTGGACTGCCCCTGGAGCCATCGAGACCATGGCCACGATGCTGAGGCGCATTCCAAGGATCGTAGCGTTGTTGTTGTGGGGGTGGAGGTGGAGGTGGGGGCCTAGAGGTGGTGGAAGACGACATGGAGCCATACGGCCGAGGCAGCGGAGGTCCATGTGTATTGTTGCGATGCCCTCCATACGATTGCGCTCGTTGAGGTGGAAGAGCAGGCTCTGCAGTCTTTGTGAAGGCAGAAGGCAATGATGGCTTGCCAGGAAGTGCCGACGGGATCTTCGCATCGGAGGCAGATAATGGTAGTGAAATCTGCTCATCTGATGGTGGCTTCGGGGTCCCGGTCACGCCCAGTTTAGCCAGGATGTCTTCTTGGCTTAGCTGTTGAGGAGGTGCTGTCTCAGACTCCGTAGTGGCAGGTTTGGTGGATCCACTGTTTGTAGCGAGTGCTTGCTCAAGGTTATCCATAATGTCCCACGTAGCATCGCGCATCTCCAGATCCTCATCCTGCTGTACCTCCTCGTACAATTCGTCCGGTCGATCTCGTTGAGCAATACAATCCTCTAGCGAGACGAGATTGGATTTCATGTCCTCGTCTGTGAATACGACGAAGACTGGGTCATCTTGAAGTGTCTCCCATTCGTCTGTCTGCCTAACATTCAAGAAAGCCTCATGCGAGTTGTCGGCTGTAAAGTACATCGACACTGAATCTCCGTTGTCCAGTTTCTCCGGCGTAGGTTTCAGTGCGTCTTCTTCGGCCTCGGCGAAGGTTGATGGTAATGCACGTGTTACCTGCTTTGCGGGATGCCAGATGATAACTCCGAGACTTAGGGCCGGATCGACAGGTTCATTGCTTTTGGGCCATATAGCACCATCGAAATCGAAATCCCAGTCGTCCCAGGCAAGGAACAGTTGCGGCTTCTCGCCTGAACTTTCCTCACTCAAAGCACTCGTGGACTGATTTGACGGTGGAAGGGTACGAGATGTAGTGAGATGAACAGTCGCCTGTGTTGGTGTAGCGTGAGGATCCGGCGTGGAATGACTATCGTTGGGTAATCCGTTGATTGAGCTGTGTTGGTTTGACTGATAGGATGCTTGCCCCTGCTGCTGTGACCACGCTGGATTCTGTCCATAAGCCTGTTGATTGGTGTTAGTGGCCGCATGCTGAGGCTGATATCCTTGATAGTGGCTCTGTGGTGGTGCATAGGGCTGCGCAGGAGGTTGATTCGGAGGTTGCGAGTAACCTGTATTTGGTTGATAACCTGGTTGTGGCCATTGATAATTAGCTTGCACCGGCGGATATGCGGCCTGTGGGTAATTTGGAGCTTGGGGCGGCGGCTGATTATAACCCTGGGCGGAATAGCCATGGTGCGCAGGGGGAGCAGCATAACCTTGCTGTGGGTAACTTGGAGGTACTGGGGGTGGTTGTGAGAATGCAGGCTGCGGCGGTTGGTACTGATTGGGAAAATGAGTGGTTCCAAAAGGGCCCTGGGGTTGCGCCGGCCCACGATAGCCTGGGGGAGGGGGATACCGAGTAATTATCGGATTTCCCTTCTTCTTTGGAGGTCTACACATATGTCAGAAAACGGCCTTTGGGGAATCTAAACTTGAGGTTCGATGTTGTTGTTCTTTTCAAAATATCTGGCCGAGCTGCAAGTACGTGGTGAGATAAAGAAAACCTACTGAACATGAGGAGCACGGTGAGGTGGACCGGCCGGCGGATAGGCAGCTCCTGACTGATATTGTCCGTATCCCGGTTGTTGTCCTGGCTGCTGTCCATATTGATAGGGCGGCTGTTGGCCGTATGGCTGGCCATTGCCATACGGTTGCTGCTGGAAAGGCGCCGAACCTGCTACGGGCCCGCTCCACGACATGCCCACTCTGGAAATTACCTGTTGCGATGCACGTCAGGAGTAAGATGCTCGGGACCGTATAGAAAGAAATGGAGTCGATGGATTTCTCGGAAGTGGTGATGTAGGTCGGACTGGATGTAGGCAAGTGTTCTTGAGTTGGGAGGTGCGCGTCTCAAAATTTGGTCTGGTCGAGCGCACGAGCCAGGACGACGAAAGAGAAGCCCAAGCTCATGGAGGGACTTTGAACTTAGGGTGCTCTGATAACGCGTGAAGGCTGAATGATTTGGGCGGAACTATGACGTTGGGAAAGACGGAATTGAGTTGACGGAAAGAGCCCTGAAGTGAAACAAGCCAGGCTGATGTGAGGAAAACCCTTGGAAGTTGCTATTGAGAGCACAGCAGGATGCAGATGGCGGGTTGCGAGGAATGCAGGAGATTGGCCTCGGGACATCAGAATCTAGTGACGCGACAGGAGGGAAGACTTGAGGGTGAAGACGCCGAGTGCACACCCGTCCCATTGAAGCATGCCAACGGTTGTCGCGTAGAAATGAAATCTGGAGCGTGGTCACGTTTTGCGCTTGGGCCAGGGCCAGCGCGGGATGCCGCCGCATTTCAGGCCGACAGGCACACATTGCCCCCCATTGCCATGTCGCTCGCTCTCGCGCCATCGCCCAGATACCGCCCCTCGATGCGCCCCCGAGGATGATTGTACGATACAGACACCTGCTAGCGACCAGTATAGACTCGATACCCTGAGCTGCGCCGCGAATGCCCCAACACCAACACCCACCGCACAAACACCACCATGCCCGGCCTACCGTGTACGTCAGTCGCCGACGCCTGCGCATTCCCTGGGTGGCTGTGCTGACATTGTGGCAGCTACCGTAGACCTCGATGAATGCATATCGCGCCTGTCGAAGAAGGAGCTGCTCGCCGAGTCGGTGGTCGAGGCAATATGCGCCAAAACCAAGGAGCTGCTCATGAAAGAGAGCAATGTGGTGCACATCAGAGCGCCCGTTACTGTCGTGGGTGACATCCACGGCCAGTTCTTCGATATGATGGAGATATTCAAGATTGGCGGGCCGTGTCCTGACACCAACTACCTCTTCCTCGGTGCGTCTCCGTCCATTGGCCGTATGCTGCACGCGACCTCGTTTCATGACGCTAATATATCCTAGGTGACTACGTCGATCGCGGTCTCTTCTCTGTCGAAACAATATCGCTCCTCGTATGCCTGAAGCTTCGCTATCCACACCGAGTCCACCTTATACGCGGAAACCACGAATCGCGCGGAGTCACTCAGTCTTATGGCTTCTACACCGAGTGCTCGCGAAAGTACGGGAACGCAAACGTATGGCATTATTTTACCGACATGTTCGACTTCCTCACTCTATCCGTCGTCATCAACGACCAGATATTCTGCGTACACGGTGGCCTCTCGCCGTCAATACACTCCATCGACCAAATCAAAATCATCGACCGTTTCCGAGAGATACCTCACGAGGGGCCTATGGCGGACCTAGTCTGGAGCGACCCAGATCCCGAACGAGACGAATTCTCGCTCAGCCCAAGGGGTGCAGGTTATACATTTGGAGCACAAGTTGTCAAGAAGTTTCTGGAAGTCAACTCCATGTCGCATATTCTACGCGCACATCAGTTATGTCAAGAGGGCTATCAGGTTCTGTACGATGACAGACTTAGCACTGTCTGGAGTGCACCGAATTACTGCTATCGGTGCGGTAACATGGCCAGTGTACTGGAGGTCAGCGATACCGGTGAACGCTTCTTCAATGTTTTCGATGCGAGCCCCGACAACGATGTCCACCGAGCAGAGCAGCAGCAACAGCAAGGCAAGGAAGTCACGACAGAGTACTTCCTATGATACCCAACGTATACAGCGGTGCATCATTGGCTCGGTGCGAATCTGGCATTTATCGGCGTTGGCACGAGGCACGGCGTTCGGGCAAGACTATGTTGGTTATATACAATCATGTGTGAAATGCGATCATATACTGAAGCTGGTACGCAATCTCAACAATCTCGTCGTTACCTGCTTTATACGTGATTTGCGCACCTGTTTCAGCATCCCAAGTACTTAGTTTCGATCCAACGCGCCTCTTCGTCATGACCCAGCCTTGCGACCACAATCTTAATGTCGGGGAACACGCTCAACACCCTGTTAAGACCTACGCGCCCTGCCGTATATGTCACAAAGACAACTCTGTTCTCCGGTACGCCATGGTCAACCAGTACCCTGACCGCCATCAATGCCGCTGCACCTGTGGAGAATTGCGGATCTAGAACCAAGACCAGTCCATGCTCTGCGATGTTCTCGGGAAGAGCCCGGTAATGCAACTCCGGTTCTCCAGTCCTGTAGTTTGTCTGGATCAATACTCTCCCAGTCCTGCAGTCTGGAATGGTTCTTCGAAGGCCCGTTTCGAATGCACTTCCACCACGTAAGACTACTACTGCGCTGATTTCCGCAGCCTTCTTGAGTCCCTGGTACGTGTAGTCTTGGGGCGTAGTGATTTTGTGTGACTCAAAAGGCAAGAAATCCGCAGCTTTCTCGACCAAAAGCGCGACCATGCGATCGAAGTAGAAGATAAAGTCTTCTCTCGACGTGGTCGGGTTGAGTAACAGGGTGTGCATTCCCTTGATTTGGTTCGTTTGTTGCAGTACGATAGCATTATCGCTCAATGGGCTATCTTCCGCGATCTTGCCCAGTCGTCTCAGCTCCGTCTGATGCTGTATGCTCTTGCTTTCTAGCGTCTGTCGAACCTGATTGCTCACCATGGTGATTGCGACCTTGTTCTCAATACCTCTTGGAATGATGAGATCAGCAATCTCCCTTTGCGGCGCAACGTATTTGTAGAAGTTTGGCTTTACGAAAGCGAACCATTGTTTGATGCATCCTTCGATGTCGCGTCCGCGTTCTTTCACATCCCGTACGAGACGTCTCGAGAGACACAGGTCAGCGTCGGCTTCCGCAAATATCTTGAGATCCAGGAGGTCGAGCACGCGTTGGTCATGCAAAGCAAAGATGCCTTCTAGAATTATGACGTGCGGCGAGTAGATCGTGGTCGTTTTGGAAAGGCGGGCGTGTTTTTGGAAAGAGTATATAGGCACTTCAGCCACCTTGCCACTCTTGATGTCCTTCAAGCGCTCGACCAGGATGTCGAAATCTATAGCGTCGGGCGAATCAAAGTCGAATTCGTTCCGGAAAGCCGCTGCAGATTGCTCTGGCGTCAGAGGCTTGTAGAACGAATCCTACATGCAGTGGTCCTTAGCTGATTGGAGCACGTGACCCACTGTACGAGGCTGGTACGCACCATAGACAGGATGACAACCCATGGCAAGTTCAAAGATGCCACTATCGCCAGTGCCAGAGAAGTTTTTCCAGATCCAGAACTACCAGCTACACCAATAATGCTCGCGTTGCCCCACGGCGGTTCGTAGTGCGTTCTGCGGCCTGCCGAGGCCATATTTGTGATTTCTTCGGATTTTCAAATGAGACCGTGTTTCTGCTATCTCATGCTCTACCAAACCGCACCTCTCATAGCAAGACTGAATAATGTCGAGGGTGTATGCAGGGTTCCAGCACGATCGGGTTTCTGCAGCGGGCGGCTCTTTACTTAGGCTCGCGCTTACATAATAACGACCCACCCCACTAGCGTTGCCAAGCTCGCAAGCTCAGTCTTTCTCTTCCACGAACCTTCACTCACAAACTTTCTCTCATCACGCACCAAGCTTTGCGTGACTGCCAGCACACTCGACCAACGGTCGGGCAGCTCTATCCTTCACTGATGGACGTCGGCTGAGGCTTGCTGAGCGCCTCGCTTCACCATGGTAAGCTCCAACGCATCTGCTGTCGCAAAACTCACCACCCTCTAACAATCATGCAGAGCTCATCTACCATTTCTGTGTCGGCGGCAACGCCAACACAGCATCCTTTCCAGAGGAAGATTGATGACATCAAGCCGTCCAAGACGTAAGTTGCTACCTGTCCGCGCTGCCTCAGCTACTGCCCCACATGATGATTTCAAAATAAGTTGGGAATCTCTCCGAAACAACGTGTGGAGAACATGTTAACTTGTATCTCTGATCTCGCAGTAGCTGCTGCATTGCGCACTACATTGTCTGGCATTCGACCAACAAGCTAACGTATGCGCTTTAGGGACATCAACTTTGTCATCATGGACTATCTGGTCAGCGAAGGCTACCCTAGGGCTGCTGAGAAGTTCGCCAAGGAAGCCAACATCCAGCTACCTCTTGAAGAGGAGTCCATACAGTCCCGCGTAGAAATACGACGGTCTATCCATGCTGGCGACATTGACACCGCCATTACTAAGATCAATGATCTAAACCCTCAGGTACGCATTCTCTTCCCACTTCGTCCACCCCTTGCAGGATTATATCCAGTTTCATGCACCACGCAGAATCTCTTTGATGATAATCAAACCTTCAGTCCTTAATATGATTGCAAACAAACACATTCACTCATGTCGCATACCTTTTGTTGGGCTTTGCTAACTCCGAGTCAGATTCTAGACACAGATCCATCGCTACACTTCGCGCTGTTGCGTCTGCAGCTCATTGAGCTCATCCGCACATGCACATCGTCTACCGCCTCCGATATCACACCCGCTCTTAGCTTCGCGTCATCTCAGCTAGCTCCTCGCGCAGCTACGAACACGGACTTCCTGAAGGATCTCGAGCTTACTATGTCGTTGCTCATTTTCCTTCCCGCCACCCCTGGAACACTCCAGAAGGAGCTCAATGAACTGCTTGAGCCTTCGCTTCGTCGGCATGTCGCGAGCAAGGTCAACGAGGCAATACTCACGAGCATGGGGGCACATGGAGAGTCACGCATGAGGAGCTTGGTGCGCCTACGGCAGTGGGCGGAGACCAAGGCGCGAGCTGCTCAAAAGGACATCCCTCCCGTTCTACCTCTTGGCTTGCAGGACGCCGACGAGCGGCCGGCCAACGGCAATGGTGAGGCTGTCGACGTGATGGTGCAATAGAGACGTACGAATATGGGGCATCAGTTCTCGACTGAAGCTTTTCCGCTCCTATGCCTTATGTTGTAACGATTTTATGACGAGAGAGCTTTTGAGCTCTGGCCTATTAATGATACCACAATTGAATTCTGTGAAACTCGCGCTCCTTGTCTTCGTGCATGGATTTGATCATTCAGCCTGTAATAGCCCATCTTATAAGTTGGAATATCCAACAGCGATGCAAATTCGGGGTGATCTACCTTTATAGACTACGCCGTTGAGTTTCGTCGTTCAGATGAGGTACTTCCGTTCTGCCATGGTAATCAGTGGTTGGGTACTGTAGCAGGCGGTCGTTCCATGGTCTGGGTCGAGTTAAGTCCTTGATGGGCAGCGTAGCTGACCGCATTAGGCTGGTCGTTCATCATACTCGACCTGTCATCCCGTCGCGACCGGCCGTGTAGTTCGCAGGAGGTTATGAAGGTACTCATGTATGCGACGTATAAGACGGGCCTTGTGCTCCAACGTTGCGAGCGTCTCCGAACCTTCGCCCTCCCGTCATCCGCACAGCCAGCCCAGCGAAAAACACCGCTCTCCGGACCTGGGAATCCCTGTGCTTTTTACCACCAGATCTCCAGCCCCTCACTTTCCCAGCCAACGCAGATCTCGCTCGGAGCCTATGTTTCTGAGCTCACAGGACATCCATCCTCAACCGTCCCTTTGCTCCGTAACATCCGGCCGCTTTCGATTGACGCGAGCAAGCCAGTGTCCGCTACCCCGCGATTGCGGACGCGCTATTCCCACGCCTCCTAGCATCCAGAACCCCCGCATAGTACGACAGGAGCCGCGTGTGGTGGAGCTGTCTAGAGGCAGAGCTAAAACTCTCTTATTGGTCGCTTAGCTTTCTCGAGGTCCTCAATTGGGAGATGTAGATGCACGGCTACATGTGGCTGGGAGAGCTTACGCAGAAGATCTGGCAATAGCGTTTGGAATCTGCGCTCGACCGACCCAGCTGGCAGGTTTCATCAACTCAAATGCACACTTACGTGGATTTGGCTCTCACATGAGCTGTCGAGTAATGCAGTGGAGGGACCAGATGGAGACAAGGCGCGATTGAACCGAACTGTCGCCGAGCCTGGGTAGGACGTTACCATTGCCATTCGCGCCTTCAGTTCACCTGTCACTTGAACAAGAACGATTTTTTGCCTTGAGTTATTTGCGGCACCGGCCGTGGCCGTTGTGTGCTGAGCAACGAGCATCAGGAGATGTTCTGTCGAAAGAAGCTAGAAGCCTGGCGCTGACCCCACCTAGCCGACCATCCCCCAAATCACCCCTCACACCATACTCAACGACGGTTTGCCTCGAACCATAGTCCCTGTGCTGATTTACATGCGCTAGAGTCAGGCCACACCAACTTTCCTATTTCCGGCAGTAGTTTTCGCCTTACCACGGGTGCTTCGCGCTTGCGCTGTGGTCGCTCCCACCCAGCCGATGCATCATGATCCAGCCATCATCCAATCCTCCTCCGTGTACCCCTCCAGAGCTCCACTGTACATGTGTACCTCTATGATGATTGACCAATGAACAAGGTCCATCAGTGATCGTCCAACTCCGACGTGTTGAGCAGGAGACCTGGCTTGGCGTGGATGAACGGACGCATTGCCTGTAGCTTCCTGTAAGAAGGCGCGAATGTATCCGGACCCTGGCGAAGTGACATGTTGGTCCCCAGGTGGGGTTAAAGCGTTGAGCTTGTTTCGGCATTGACGACAAGTATATAAAGCGTACGTCTTCTACACAATCAAGGACATCCACCATCAATCACATCTTCGATCTGCTACTACAAACACTCTCACATTCGACAACCTACTATACTCACTCAACATTACCAACATGCCTGAAATTCCCAAGGAGCAATGGGCGCAGGTCATCCAGAAGACCGGTGGACCCGTCGAGTACAAGAAGATTCCCGTCGAGCAGCCTGGCCCTGATGAGGTTCTGGTCAACATCAAGTACAGTGGTGTTTGCCACACCGACCTTCACGCTGTGAACGGTGACTGGCCTTTGGTGAGTACTTCTCTTCTTTATACCGAAGTCACATTCTAATTATTTCTAGGCTACCAAGCTGCCTCTCGTAGGTGGTCACGAGGGTGCTGGTGTCGTTGTCGCACGAGGTGACCTCGTCACGGATGTAGAGATTGGTGACTACGCCGGTAAGTTCCCTCTTCTAGCGTGTGTATTCTGGAGATACTTCCGAAAAGAATACACATGTCTTTCGACCAATACTAACTCGTCACAAGGTGTCAAGTGGCTGAACGGTTCCTGCCTGGCCTGTGATTTCTGCCAGCAAGCGGACGAGCCCCTCTGCCCCAAGCCCCTTCTATCTGGATACACTGTCGACGGTACCTTCCAGCAATACTGCATCGCCAAGGCTGCTCACGTCGCCCGCATTCCCAAGGAATGTGATCTCGCTGCCATTGCTCCAGTTCTGTGTGCCGGTATCACCGTCTACAAGGGCCTGAAGGAGTCGGGTGTCAAGCCCGGTCAATTCGCCGCCATCGTCGGTGCTGGTGGTGGTCTCGGTTCGCTTGCTTGCCAGTACGCAAAGGCTATGGGTGTACGAACAATCGCTATCGACACCGGCGATGAGAAGAAGAAGATGTGCACCGGAGAGCTTGGTGCCGAGGCCTTTGTTGACTTCTCCACGAGCAAGAACCTTGTCGCCGACGTCCAGAAGGCAACACCCGATGGTCTTGGTCCCCACGTTGTCATCCTCGTTGCCGTCAACGAGAAGCCCTTCCAGCAAGCCGCCGAGTACGTCCGCCCACGCGGTACCGTCATCTGCATTGGTCTCCCCGCTGGCGCTTACCTGAAGGCACCCGTCTTCGAGACTGTCATCAAGATGATCAGAATTCAAGGTTCATACGTCGGTAACCGCAAGGACAGCTCAGAGGCTATCGAGTTCTTCCGCCGCGGCTTGATCAAGGCTCCGTTCAAGGTCGTTGGTCTCTCTGAACTCCAGATGGTGTATGACAAGATGAACAAGGGTGCTATTGCTGGACGCTATGTCCTGGACACATCAAAGTAGGGTGTCAGCTGCTACTAAAGCAAATGCAAATGTAATGTACATATCGAAAGTTATCTGTTAAACAAGATCTCGATTTCTTCCTATGCACATCCTCCCTGTCAAAAGACTTGAGGTATCGTGAAATACGACCTAGACCTAAGGTCTTCCCAACATTCAAGCCTTACAGCATGGATCGTTACAGAAGTAGTGTAAATGCCAGAAGTTCTGTTGCCCTCCATTGCTAAGACATCACCGTGCCTCTCTGCCATTCTTCGTTCTGAACCCATCTTTCCCTCGTACTCTTCCGCTTTTGCATACAATCACTCCCCAGCCGCGCCAAACATGATCTTCTTCGCCAACTCAGCCCTGCCTGATCGTTTCATAGTGATACGGAACGGAGCCAAGCTCCCGAATGATGATGTAA